TGATTCCTTTGACATTAACCGGTATAGGCAGCTTTTCAATCGTGGATATCTTTGCTTTATCCACTTCTAATCCTTCCTTTGATACTTTGTGACCTAAGACTATACCTTCTCTGACCATGAAATGGCATTTCTCCCAATTCAACACTAGGTTAGTCTCTTCACACCTCTTGAGTACTTCTGACAAATTTTTAAGACAAGATTCAAATGATTCCCCAAAGACCGAGAAATTGTCCAAGAATATTTCCACAAAATTCTCCACCATGTCCGTGAATATTACCATCATGCATCTTTGGAAGGTTGCTGGTGCATTGCATAATCCAAATGGCATCCTTCTAAAGGCAAATGTTCCATATGGGCAAGTAAATGTGGTCTTGTCTTGATCTTCTGGTGCTACAGCAATCTGGTTGTAACCGGAATATCCATCAAGGAAGCAATAGAACTCCTTCCCCGCAAGTCTGTCTAACATTTGATCAATGAAAGGTAAAGGGAAGTGGTCCTTCCTTGTAGCATCATTAAGCTTCCGGTAGTCTTGGCATATTCTCCATCCGGTCACAGTTCTAGTGGGTATAAGTTCATTTCTCTCATTCTTCACAACTGTGATTCCTCCTTTCTTTGGTACACAAACTGTTTGAGCAATAATTAATCATCAATAATCATTACTCAAGATTACACTAAGTGATTAAGTCTTTCTTACTCATTTTAACTCATAGCATGTTGTTTCTGCAGGAAGTATTCGAATACTCCACGAGTAGTATTCAAATACTCCAGCTCTCCAGAAAGTATTCGATTACTTTCATTTAAGTATTCGAGTACTACCAAGTATCCAAATACTTTACCCACCAGTATCCGAATACCACATTATCTGAATACCAAACCTTACTGTATTCGAATACTTTCCAGTATTCGAATACTTCTTCAAAGGTATTCGAATACTTTTCTTCCTAGAAAAGTATCCCAATACTCCTGCAAGGAGTATTCGACTACCAGTGAACAAGTATTCGAATACCACTCGAAAAGTATTCGAATACTTCTTCACTAGAGTGCAGAAATACGAGCAGTGATCTGCATAATCCCATTTTTAAGAGTCCAAACGCGATTGGGAGTCCAATGACTCCCTAAACAGATGAACACCAACATGTTATGAACACAGAAACACCTTCTTTTACTCAAATGGTTAGAGTTTCACTTATTAATCGATTAAACAAGCTAAAAACTCCAAAATGACAAAGAGATGATCAAGGCTCACCTCAAGAGCTTCAAAATCTGAAAATGAGACACACAAGGGGCACTCTACACAGCACCAAGGTTCAGACTAAGGCAAGACACGAATTTGACCACCAAGCTTGGTCCTTTAAGCCAAAAGATCACTTCTTGAAACCACACAAGTCATGAACCAAGCCTCCACTAAGGTAGTTCACAAACTCAGAATCACAACCCCTAAAGCCTCACAAATGCTGAACCTAAACTCAGAAAAGGTTCCCTACTCACAACCAAGGACAGCCCTCACTCACTCAAGTGTTTGGGAGAAGATTCAATGAAGAACAAAGAAGAAAAGGCCACTTGGCTCACAAGGTGCAATGAGACCAGTAATGGAACAGTGCCAAAGGGCTGATCAGCCACCAAAGCCACATAGAAAATAGGGAATGCCTAGGGTTTAGTGCAAAAGTTGTATTTATAGGCACTTAAGCTTTAAACACACAGTATTAACAATAATAGCTACGCTTAGCATTTTAATCCCAAACTTAGGATTCCGAACCTACTCAATTTTACAAGATTTATCATATTTTTATATTAATTTCCGCAGCACCTTTTCGGTACACGCTTTTGCATAGCCAGTATCAGTTCTAGCATCAGTTCTCATTATTTTAACTTGAAACTTGAAATCACAGTCCTACATATTATTCTAGGAATATTCATGCACTTATTATAATTTTCCGGGATACTTCATCGGTACACATTTATACCGACTAGCAGAATCGGTATCTGCACTTTTCGTCAGAAGAGTGACTTTCAGCATTATATCTCACTTACTATAATTATTAAAGTCTTATAATAATTATTAGAGTCAATTATGAAATTATTTCCTAATTTCACATAATTAATTAATTAATTTCCTTAATTAACGGTGCGGGTTCTTACATGTTACACTTAGCATTTTAATCCCAAACTTAGGATTCTGAACCTAGACATTTTTCTAAAAATTTTCATATATTTATTTTATTTTTCTCAGTACTTTTCTGGTACGCGCTTTTACTTAACCACTATCAGTTCTGACTCCAGTTCTCATTATTTTGACCTGAAACTTGTTATGCTAGTCCTATATATTATTCTAGTGACATATACATACTTTTCATAATTTTCCGGGATACTTCATCAGTACACATTTATACCATGAGGCAGAACTAGTATCTGCACTTTTCGTCAGAAAATCGGCTTTCAGCATTCTTAATCACTTACCATAATTATTTAAGTCTTATCATAATTATTAGGGTCAATTATGGAATTATTTCCTAATTTCTCATAATTAATTAGTTAAATTTCTAAATTAACGGTGCGGGTTCTTACAAATATCATCGGATTTGGACGGACTCTAAAACAATCTTTTAAAATCCCAATTGAATATCACGTGACTTTTTTCAATATTTTAAAATCCTAAATAAATTTTTTGTCCAAAAATAATCTATTAAAATTCTTTAAAGTTTCATCCCCTTAGAGTTGAAAAGCAAATCAACATTGGCAAATACACGAGAGAAAATATAGAGGGAGAAGCCATCCATTCTATTTCAGTATATGCAGTTTAAACTTTGAGGTTTGGGCCAGCAAAACACACGAGAGGTAGCGTCGACAATATGAAACAAACCAACAAACAAGAGGTTTTAGAGACAACCAAAATGTACATACACAAAGAAAATTTGATGATTTCTCTCTCATAATTTCTCTCGCTTATAACTATCAATTATTTAACATATCATTCCATATACACGGCAATAAATTAAACCCCCTTTCATAGCTTATCCAGTTATCCTATAAATTTTTTAAATTAAAGAAACAAGAACGAAAATATACTCAAGGTGATAAGTGCACTATCGTTATGAATTATTTGGGTCCCACCCTACTCTCCTGCATTATCTCTTGCTTGATCCTGTTATCGCGTTCAATAATTGAGTTCGTTTGATTGTTTATGAATTTCTACACAAACCCTTTCTAATTAATTAATCATTAAATTGACCCTTCAACAAAAATTATCCAAGTAAGTTCGACTAGCAATAATGATCTAGTAAATGGTCCTTGCCATATAGTATTATTTTCACAGGTGAAAGCCATATCTAATATTATTGGCTCATAAAGTACGTTGTGGGGTCATTGCAAGTTGATGGAATTCTTGAATTCAAAAAAGTACAAAATAAGAAAAATAAAAGCCAGCTTTATTACTTTCTCCTCTCTCACATATAATTGGAAATTTATTTATTTACAATGTGAAAGAAAATGGAAAAAAATGACTTCATAACTCTATGTAACTAATATTATTCATTGGCATGTCACCTCATTACATACACTATTGCAATGGTCCCAATCACAAATTCAAATGATTGAGGAATCATGAAGCGTTAGAAGATTGTTAGCCATCAAAATATTCATTGTATTTATTATGTTAGGTCTAAGCTAATTGAATTTGCCACCGGTTTACTTCCATTTCATAAATGGTCTTTGCCTTCACAAGGTGACCTATATCTAACCATGAAATCATTAATTCATCATTATCAACAAACTTCAAACTCAAAATTTGTCAAACCATGGTGAACTAACTACATGAACCTACCCACGTGGTCGCAAGATCACCTAAATTTCTTTCAATATATAAAGAAAATTACTCTTTCTTTGTTTGTTTAAATATTACTGTAAATTTTTTGTATATGACTACTTAATTATATATAGTAATATTTTAAAATTTTAAATATATTTATGATTAAATAATTATTTTTAGTTTTTCAAATATTTACACAACATTTTAGTCTTCCAAAATTTAAATTAACATAAATATGATTTAAATTTATGTTACATAAACTAGACAGAAGAACCATTTTGATGTAACTTTTTAAATATTTGAAGAATTAATTTGATGCCATAAATATTAAGTGAACCAAATTGAAGTCAAATGCATTTTTGAATGATCAAAATGAACATTTAGTCATTATTTATTAAAATAAAATTGATTAATTAATTATATGATGATAAATAATTAGATAATAACATAAAACAACTATACTAACAAAATTATTTAATATAAAATCATTTTATGTTTAAAGTTTAGGTTGCGTGATCTTATTTTTATCATAGCCATTTACAACTTTTGAATTAATATCGAGAGCATCCCTTGTGATTGAGTTCCATCAACTTCCATGATTAAGTAGAGGTCAATGATCGATATTCATCTAAAGGCTAATTTCGTAATTTCACTATAAGCAAAGCTGACCTGAAAAATAAGCAAACTTATTATCTCTATCGTCGCTATCTGCATCCTGTTCCCACTACAACTGTTAAATATTTCTAAATATACATCGCATAAATAAAACAATTTTTTTAAAAATATTTTCCATTACTATTATTCTCACTTATAATTATTCCCCTTTAAATGGACAATATTATAATGTATATTATTTGGCTTTCCCATTTCTTTTCCCTTGACTTACTTAATACTTATGACTCTTCCTTGTCTTTCTTTTTCCAATCCAACTAGAACAAAATAATTGAAGATTCCATACCCTAATAATGAAAAAAATAATAACAATTATTTATAACACACACACAAAAAAGTTTCTTCAGCTTAATTAATTTTTTCTCTCTCATTTTTTATATAATTAAATAGATAGAGAAATCCCATCCAAAAAATAAGCAAAAATATTAACCTCAAGCATCCCATGCGCATAATAAAAACACTTTTGAGTATTCACCTTGTTTTCTGACTATTCTTTTTTATTTTTTCTCAAGCTGTAACTGAATAGGGACAACATCTCTATAGCTATATGCAGCTAGGAGACTCAAGTGTGTTGGAAATCTCCTCCCCTAACAAGCCCGTGATGGCGGTGACGGCGGCAGCACCATCGGAAGCACCGGCACATGAAGATGTCAACGGTGGTGATATGGTAGAGATGGAAGTGAGTGCAAATTCAGGTGAAGAGAAGAGAAGAGAAGAAGGTGATAAGGTAAGGTTTGGAGGAAACCGTTGGCCACGCCAAGAAACTTTGGCTCTCTTGAAGATAAGGTCTGATATGGATGCTGTGTTTCGGGATTCAAGTCTTAAAGGTCCACTTTGGGAAGAAGTTTCAAGGTATATAAATATAATTCAATTCAATAAATATTCTCTCTTTTTGTTTTTTGGTGTGAGTTCATCTTTCTCTTCATTCCATTTCCTTTTATTTTATTTTATTTATTTAGTTTTGAAGAAGCTAAAAACTTTAAGCTCCCTCTATATCATGCATGGAGAGGAGACCTATGTTTTTCTTTTTCTTTTTCCTTTTTTGTCAATTTCCAGTTCAATCAGTTTTGGAGTCTCATTTCCTTTAATTCATTGAAACTTGTATGATTTGAGCCATTAATAAGTTATGTTTAATCACACCATCAAGACATTTTCCAGCCTGGGATAATAATTCAATATGAACTTCATATTAATTAAACTCAACTTTTTATACCCGAGTCAAATCTTGAGAAGATAAGGCATATATAAATTTTACCCGTGCTTGAAATGAATCATTCTGTGTGAGTTTTCCATTTTGCTCTTATTTTTGTTTGAAGCTTTCTCTTCTTGCTTGGATTAGTTTTTGTCTTATTTGTTACACTCTTTTAGGTAGAAACCTATAGGGAGGCAAGTACATTTCCTTGTCTAATATTTTTCCTTTGCTTATTTGAAATCATTAGCTTATAATTTTATTCAACTTTTTTTTTTCTTCTCAAATCTTTTTCTAATATATAATGTTGAAATTTGATCTCTCTCTCTCCTTATATATATATATATATATATACACATACATGAAGGAAACTAGCAGAGCTTGGATATCACCGAAGCGCAAAGAAGTGCAAGGAAAAATTTGAGAATGTGTACAAGTACAACAAGAGAACCAAAGAAAGCAGAAGTGGAAAATCAGATGGAAAAACCTATAGGTTTTTTGATCAATTACAAGCCCTTGAGAACCAATTCAAAGTTTCTTACTCACCAAAATCACATCCTGTTTTGGCAAAAACAAATACACTAGCAGTGACATTGCCAACAAGGCAAAGTGATAACAGTACTATACCTATCTCTTATGTCACCACCACTTTTCCATCAACAAACCCTACACTTATTTCTCCTTCACCACCAACCACCACAACCAGATCCACAACAATAACCAACCCTAAAAATCCATCACCACAAGCCAATAATAATACCCCACATTATTCTTTCCACAACATGAACCTTTTCTCAACCATAACCTCTTCTTCCACCGCATCCGATGAAGACATAGAAGAGAGGTATAAGAGGAAGAGAAAATGGAAGGGCTACTTCAGGAGGCTCACTAGGCAGGTCCTGTCAAAGCAAGAGGAAACGCAGAAGAAGTTCTTGGAAGCCATTGACAAACGCGAGAGAGAATGGTTGACACAACAAGAAGCTTGGAGGATGCAAGAAATTGCGAGGATCAATAGGGAACATGAGTTCCTTGTTCAAGAACGATCAAATACAGCAGCCAAAGATTCAGCAATCATTGCATTGTTACAAAAATTGTCCGGGCAAAAAAATCCCACACAACCTCCTCGTAGCAATTCCCTCCTACAACAACCACCACCACAACCGTCGCCGTCGCAGTCACCGCGGCAAGTATCACAAATAGAGCAACAACAACAGCAGCCACAGCCATTATCATTGATACCAAACAACAAATTTGAAATCCAGATAATGAACAATGGTTACAATGCTACTACTCAAGTGAACTCTTCTTCTAGGTGGCCAAAGGCTGAAATTCATGCTCTAATAAGGTTGAGGACAAGTCTTGAAGCTAAGTATGAAGAAAATGGACCAAAAGCTCCATTGTGGGAAGATATATCAGCTGGGATGTTGAGACTTGGGTATAACAGGAGTGCAAAGAGATGCAAAGAGAAATGGGAGAACATCAACAAGTACTTCAAGAAAGTGAAGGAAAGTAATAAAGAAAGGCGTGAGGATAGTAAAACATGTCCATATTTTCACGAGCTTGATGCTATATACAAAGAAAAGAGCAAATCTCAGAACCCCTTTAGCATCGCAATTCATATGAAACCAAATGAGTTGACGGAGCCATTGATGGTTCAACCAGAACAGCAATGGAGGCCCCCTCTTGAAGCTGGTATAGCGAAGGAGAATGCAAGTCAGTATCAAGAAAATGAAAAAGAAGAAGAAGAAGAGGATGATGTTGATGAAGATGAAAATGGAGCACGTAGTGTGGAAGAAGGAGGAGCTAGCGGTTATGATATTGTGACAAATAAGCTTTCTTCAATGGGCACAGTTGAATGAGACAAGATAAGGAAGTTTCTGAATTATGGAGGTTTTTCTTTTTTCTGTTTTTGGTTGTTTATAAGAAGTTAATTATTGAAAAAAATTGGTTTTTAACCCATATAAGTTGAATTCTGTAATGCAGTTTAATTCTCTTGGCAAATTATTTATTAAATTAATACGAAAAATTGCATATTTTGACATTGCGCGTTCAAATTATGCATCATTCCTGATTTGTGCAAAAAATCAAAGCGTAACGTGATATAATCTACAAGATGTACATCACTCCATATGTGTGTTGATTTTTGCACAAATCATACGTAAAAATACTGTGTGACTTTAATGCGCACAGTCAAAATTCTCTTATTGGTAAATAGTTTTACTTTATATGCTTCAACAAGCCGAAAAATTTTGCCATAGCAGATTGTTGTCATTAAAGGGATGCCACAAACACCTGCACCAGAAAAAATTGACTTCTTTAATCATGATTTTCATGACCTATCTAAAAGCATGGGCGTAGATATATCCGTGGCTGCACATAGCACACCCTATCTGAAGAGACTTTTTTCTGAGCATGGTCCAGCATAAGAGGTAATGATTGGTGTTGTGGGTCAGGTCTGGCTGTTATGTCTGAATTCAGAGATTTAACACAAAGAACAGCCACATGGGCCAGCAAAGCAGCTATAGCTAGTGGGAGTGTACATGTTTCAAGCTAATAAATTATTTGTATAAAGTGTAAATTGAGGTGATGCGAGGGTGAGAGAGAGCATACTATATAAAATAAAAGTCACATGGAAGCTAGTCTTGTAGTTTTCCTTTAACTTATTAGGGGTTGTGCTGTCGGTGGAGCTCTCATGGAATCACTTTGTTGTACTTTCAAAAAAAAAAAAAAAATCCTGTTTTTGGAAGTTTTAGTTGTGTTTGAGAATTTCGAGTGTCGAATAAGTGGGAAGACTTTGCTAATTTTCCACTAATGACTTCATTAGCCACAAGATTTGTAATAGACAGAAGTTTGTTAATTTTCCACCAATGATTTCATAAGCATCAACAGATATATCATGTCTCTTCTTAATGTGATCACGTTATAAAAAAATTATTTATTTATTCCATAGTTACAGTATAATGTTAGAATTGAATATCCACACACAGATGTAAGAGACAACCTGACTTGTGTATTTACAAAAAAACTTTTTTTTTCTATTCTTGCTTTCTTACTCTTTCTCTTTTTCTCTTGATCTACTTGATCTACATTTCATACAAACTATCAAAGGCTATTTATAAGTTATAAAACTGACCAACATAACTCCACACATAACACCTCATTACTTTATAACTGACATAACTGACTCATTAATATTCTAACTGACACAAGAAACTAAAAAACCAAAACGGCTAAAAAACGGACATTTAAAATTTATCCCAACAAAACTCCCCCATAAATTTTAAATTCTTCTTTCTTGAATTTTCCACTGGTTGATTTTTTCCGCGCTGCTGCGCTGCTTCCATGTTGCACTCCTTTCTTCAATTTTTTTTTTTGTCCGGCGGTTCCTTCATTGGTGGAAGATAGACAGTCTTGAATTTTCCTCTGTCGACCTCATCCTCCGATATACTTCCACATCCATTCTTACACGTATGATCATCACACAAGTCATCATACTGATCAGTATCTGTATCACTATAACGTCCCATTAGTTTTACAACACCTATGCCAATTTTAATAATTTCAGATTCAACATGTGCTACATTAATAGCACGTTGGGCCTCTTTAACCACAGTAACCCCATCACTCATTGAGGACCGTTGATTCCCATCATCAAGCAAATAACTCAACTCATCATTTTCTGATTCCGCCCCACGATCTTCTTCTGGTTTACGCTTGAGCCAAAATGATTCCGCCATAAAAGTAACTCTAGGCTCCTCATCGCCGAGTTCCCTATCCACAATCACACCTTCCATTTTTCCGCTCTCAGTTTCTTCATCGTCGGGTTCTTCTTCATCGTCGGGTTCTTCTTCAACAAGTCCAGCTTCCACGTGCCTCATCAATGGAATCTCAGACCACCGTCCTCCAGGGAAATGGTCTCTTTTCGGTGGTGTCGACATCTTCCACTTCCACCATAAATTCAATGCAGTCTCCGACTTCTGACTTCCAACCCGAACTGCGCCTATGTCGGTCTCTGACATCAACCTCATCACGCCGGGGTCGAGCTCTTCTCCAAAACATGAACTCGGTGATTTAGCCAGGATCTCCCCCATACCGGTTATCAACACGGAACTCGGATTCGCGGTCTCCTCTGTGCTGGTCTCCATCAAGCACCTCGGCTTCTCAATCTCCTTTCCGATTTTCGACTCCGTCTCCAAACACTCAGGTTCCGTTAAGTCTTCTACCTCGACAATGGACTCGTCGTTCCCGTCCTTCTCCGCTTCGATCTCGGCTCCTTCGTTCTCCTCATCTTCTATCTCGGCTCCTTCGTTCTCCTCTTCTATCTCGGCTCCTTCGACCGCAGTCATCTCCATCGTCTTCTTCTCCGAGTTGTCTCTTACGCGTTCTGACACATCAATCTCCTCCGCGGATGCGTTGCCGCTTGCAACCTCGGATTCTGCCATCTCGGTCTCTTCTTCATCCGCATCATTCTCCTCATCTTCATTATCATCATTGAAGATTTCGTCTTCTTCAATAATCAGATCAAAATGTCCAGGCAAGTATTTTGTTACGAAGGCCATTAGAAAATCCTTCCACATATTATTAAAGTCGCGGCAGTTCCATGTACGGAACCATTTGATTGCGCTTCCTCTGAATCTACTCAAAGCTTCATGCCATTTGTCCTCTTCAAATGTTTTTTCTCTTCGAAAATATTCTTTTAGACAAAGTAAGAAGACCAATGCTTCATCTTTATCTCCATAAAAGAGTGGCACTTCCATCTCGTTCTTTTCCTCCATAGCCCAAGCTCTGATACCAATTTGTTAGAATTGAATATCCACACACAGATGTAAGAGACAACCTGACTTGTGTATCTACAAAAAAACTTTTTTTTTTATATTCTTGCTTTCTTGCTCTTTCTCTTTTTCTCTTGATCTACATTTCATACAAACTATCAAAGGCTATTTATAAGCTATAAAACTGACCAACATAACTCCACACATAACACCTCATTACTTTATAACTGACATAACTGACTCATTAATATTCTAACTGACACAAGAAACTAAAAAACCAAAACTGCTAAAAAACGGACATTTAAAATTTATCCCAACATATACTATCAAAATTCGTAAAATAAAAAAAGAAAAGATGATTATTTTAATTCTTAACTGTTAATTTAAAAATTAATAACTAAAATTTTTTATATGAAGTGGTCATTTCAAGAAGAGACCTGTAAAAAAATATTTGTCCATATGTACAATTGCTGTAATAAACAGATAGAGCGATAGTCATTGTTGTAACAGAGAAAAAAAATTTCTTACTCACTAATATATATATATATATATATATATATATATATATATATATATATATATTGGTAAACTGAAGGGGAAAACACCACAGAGACTAAACAAGAGAAATCCTACGCAAAGAGCAAACCTGAGAAAAATCAGCTAAATACAGTAGCCAAATCCTAGGGGGAGGGGAATGGAAAGCAATAAAACTATTGTCCAGTGGATGATCCAGAGGATACTTTGACAGCCAATCCGCACATTTGTTACTTTCTCTATAAGAGTACATCAACTGAACTTCCTAGTCCTTCAGTAACCAGGCTCGAATACGATTCACCAAGCGGGACTCTCGAGCTGCTCCGCCATCTCTGATGAGCAAAGTGATAACTGACAAAGAATCACTTTCAACAATTATACATCTCCAACCACCGGCCCAAGCTACTTCTAGACCTTTTAAAACACCCCACAGTTCTGCCACAAAAGCTGAGCAAATTCCTATATGATAAGCAAACCCTTGCAGCCAGGAACCAGATGCATTCCTAATTACACCACCACACGCTGGACCACCACCCTGAATTCTTGCTGCCCTTTGTTCGAACTTCTCCTCACAACAGTGCTGAGGTGATAATATCGAGTGTTTTTGTCCCCATCAGATATCCATTTTTGTCTAGATTTTTGGAACCAAAACATCTCTTCTTCATGCAAAACATGTGACAACGTCTTCTGGCAATTCTCTTCAATGGTTCTAAGATGCTCTGAATCATGTTGATGACGCCGATGCTGAATATTCTCAATCTTTCGGATGATATTAATTATCCTATTCTCTATATCTCCAAACACTCGTCTGTTCCAAATCTTTAAATCAGGAATTGTAAGAACCCACACCGTTAATTAAGGAAGTTAATTAATAAATTATGTGAAATTAGGAAATAATTCCATAATTGACCCTAATAATTATTATGAGGCTTAGATAATTATGGTAAGTGATTAATAATGCTGAAAGTCGCTTTTCTGACGAAAAGTGCAGATACTGGTTCTGCTACTCGGTATAAATGCGTACCGATGAAGTATCCCGGAAAATTATAAAAAGTGTGTATATGTCACTAGAATAATATATATAGGACTTGTAAAACAAGTTTCAAGTCAAAATAATGCGAACTGGTGCCAGAACTGATACTGGCTATGGAAAAGCGCGTACCAAAAAGGTGCTGCGAGAAATAAAATAAAATATGATAAATCTTAGAAAATTGAGTAGGTTCAGAATCCTAAGTTTGGGATTAAAATGCTAAGTGTAGCTGTTAATGCTAATACAGTGTGATTAAGTGTAATCCGCCTATATAAGGCCATGGCACTTGTCCCTAGGTCAGATTCTTATGCATGCTGCGCTTCTTTTCTAAAGTTGGTTTCCTCCAAAGCTGGTCACCTTCTCTTCTTCTCCATTTTATGAGCATTGAGACCTTTCAATTCATTAAACCTTCACCTTAACATCTTGAGATAGGGTGAAGTGGCCTTGTGAGTGAGTGTGACTCCCTTTTCTTTGAGTGTTCTGCCTCTGTGGTTGGAGTGTGTGGGCTGACTTCTATGGCTTGAGTGGTGAAAACCATTTCCTTGTTTGTTGAAGAGCCAAGTGTGGAACGTTTGAAAGAAAGAACCTTGTTGAGTGCCATTTTCGTATTCTTTGGTAGTATGAATATTTGGAGCAGTTTGGTGAGCTCCAA